AAAAAAAAAATGATCTCATTCCTCTTACTAAATTTGGGAGGAGCTTTTAGTGGCATTTTTTCTTTTTCAAATAATTAGCAATTTGTGTAACTCTCGTGTGAATTAATTAATTAGGCTTTTTTTTTTTTTAATTTTAAGCTTTATGATAGAAAACAATATTTTTCAATTTCTTAACCTGTCTTATTCCATAATATGTGATTATGTGATTCCAATCCAATTTTCAAAGCCTCCTAATTTTACGCAATTACAACTAACCCGCTTCAATTGTTGGCAATTAATCAGGCATTATAAAGTAAAATGAGACTTTTTTTATTCTACGTAATATCATTCGATTGCTACATGGCGGCCCAATGGAATTCATATCTGGTACACTTGCATGGAATTCATTTCGTAAGAAAAGTTGCTTTCTTTTTGGCATGAGAATCCTATGCGATCATAGTAAGACTAATGAGCTGCCTTTTCAAGAAAAAAACAGAAGGAAATGAACGCTTCTTTTTTCATGTGAAGATAATATAATGCCTCCACGTTTTACCCTCCTCTTAAAGCAGATATTTAATCTGAAATCTTTGGTACAATTATTAAAAGATCTAAATTGTGCCCATAAAGAAAAAAAGACTTTAAATGCTCCACATGACATGATTATGTTTCAATATTTATGTGATTGGAGGTTTGTCCTATATATGAGAGCTGGTTACACTTTGGAGAGGAGTATGGGACCTACGTAAAGCAGGTGAAAAATCAGTTATAATAACATGTGAAATTTTAAATTTATAATATAATATATTATTATATAATTAATTTTTATTTAAAATTTATTATAATATTATATATATGGTTAACTGCTAAATTTGGTCGCTCAACTTTATAAAGTTGTATTTTTTGATCCCTTAACAATTTTTTGTGTTTTTTTGATTCTTCAACTTTAAAAAATGCACAATGTTAGTTCTTCCATAAATTAAAACCATTAACTGAACTTACGTGACATTTTCCTTATTTTTTGTAACAACATGTCAATGACAAATAATACAATTAGCTTAGATGGACAATTTTATACTGGCAAGTCAAATTCAATTATCATTTTTCATTCTTTTCAATTCATTAAATATAAAATTACTAAAATACCCTTAAGTTATTCTTCTTGCCATTATTCTCCTCTGCCTTTTCTCTCTTTGTTCTCCTCACCACCACCATTATTTCTAGCCATTGTTCCTCACTCTTCCTCACTGTTTCTCTTCTCCCAACTACTTGAGATCTATTGGTGCCTAACTTGAGTTTGTTTCTTTGTTGAGAAAGATAGCAATGGAAGAAGAATGATGAAGAAGGGAGAAAAAAAAAAACCCAAATATGGGTTTGTGGGTTCGCACGGAGCCCAAATCTCAGTTCCTCGCGAACCCAAGTCTGGGTTCCTCGTGAACCCAGTTCTGGTTCCTCGCAAACCTAGTTCTGGGTTCATGAGGAACCCATCAAAGGTTCGTGAGGAATCCAAATCTGGGTTCATAAGTAACCCATCAAAGGGTTCTCATTGAACTCAAAAATGGGGTTTTTTTTTTTTTTTTTCTAGAAATGGGTTTTTTTTTTTTTTTTGAATCTAGTATATATTTTTTCTTGGAACAATTTGCCTTATCTTTTGATAAAATGCTAAAGATGATTCAAAAGAGATTGAGATGGGTGGAAAGCAACGAATTAAAATCCAAAAGCAAGTTTTATCTCTTGAGCCAAATTAGTCTTATACTTGTTTTGCTTCACATGTGGTAGTTATAGTTTGAGTTGTATCTGGTGAAGCTAAAATTGCTCAAAAGGTTAGAAGGCCAAAACTTACACAAGTAAAGGTGTAAATAAGGATTCCAACTTTGCACTTTTTTCTATTTAAGGATGTTAACTTTATCAGTTTCTAAATAAGGATGTCAACTTTCAATTTTTTTTTAAATAAGGATGTTAATTTTGTCAGTTTCTAAATAAGGATGTCAGCTTTTAACATTTTCTATTTAAGGATGTCAATTTTCAACTTTTTCTATTTAAGGATAAATTGAATAGTGATGTTGACATGGCTAACATATTTTTTAGGTTAAATACCTGAATTGGTCCCTCAACTTTTATTTTTGAACCAATTCATCCTTGAACTT